TGACTCGATGACCTCTAGTGGTCCCTTCCAACCCAAAACATTCTATGATTCTATGATTCTATGATTCTATGCTCCACCACGCAGGTCCTGCAGGATGGGGAGGACCATGCCAGGAATGCTGCTGGTGCCCCAGGCTCTGCTGAGCTTCTGCACGGGAAGCCTGACGTCGGTGGCTGCAGGAGGGTCGCTTCTCTGCACTGAGATTCAGTTTGTGCGGGAGGCAGCGTGTGTGACCCACAGAGGGATGTTTTAACTACATTGGTCCTCTATTACCACTCTTCACCCTGCCAGTTTTGCTAGACAGTCTCCACTCTGATGTCTTATCCAGTAAAAAGCCCGTCATGAGCAAAACTTTCAGAAACTATGGCCTGTCAGCCTTTAGGGACATGCTTATCTGTGGTCTGACACTAAAGCAGGTATTTCCATTTGTGCAGGATTAGAGACTTTTTATGATGTTTTCAGCTGTGTTATTGAGTACCTCTGCATTTCCTAACCATATTGCATCAAACCTCAAGGTGCCAGCCTGAACACAGCCTTTACCATACAGACTATGTGCCAGGTTTCACATTCCACAGGTGCTTTTACCTCAAGAAGGTTCACCAGATACACCAGCTCAGCCCCCACGATGCGGACGTTGTTAACGGCTTCAGTGTACAAACCACTAGAGCCACCTCTCCAGTCGGTCAAAATGCAGTTCACATCTTCAGTGAGAAACATGAGCTGGTGGAAAATATGAAAACAAGAGAACAGAAGCAAGCAGGCATGAATTACAACTGTTGCAGTGTATATGCAAACCATATTTTTGTTTTGCTATAGCCGGGGACTCTCTTTGCTTATGTGGCTGATAAAGACACATCTTTACTATATTAATTCCTAATACTGAAGAATGAACACAAGGAGGCAGAGTGGAGGCAGTGATTTGAACACTGTATCAAGACACACAGAAGCTTGCTTCAGTTCTGTTTCCCATTCCAGAGGCCGTGGTTGGCTTTAGGGTATCAAATTCTCCTAATGACAGCACCCCAGTTAAAAAAAAGAGGATAGTGTGACTACTTTTTTATTTTTATTATTCTCATTTTTCATTCTGAAACAATTTCATTTTTGAGATGTGCCTAAATAAAATGAAACCAATCTGCTGAACAAAGCATTTTGTTTTTATCAGATCAAATGCCTCGCTCAAACCGAAATGTTTATTTTGACCTTTTGCTGAGGTTATAAAAGTGACTTTTTCCCCCCTTTATTATTGGCAAGGAATTGAAAAATCAATTCATTACAGCTTTCCCTGTGGAGGTGAATGCAGCAAAAGGGCATTTAGCAGAAGGCTGAGGTGCACTGTGCTCATAGCTAGGAACAAGAGGGCAGTCACGTGGAACTGAGCTTTGTTCTGAGGTTTTTTCCCCTCATATATCCCCTGAATTAACAAGAGAACAGCGGTGCAAATTTTAAGTGGAAATCTAAAACCAGCTAATGGGGTGATGTGGATATTTGCAGTTTTGAATACAAGTAAAATGACTGTCAGACAATAGTCATACCATACCCTGCATATATTTGTTATCCAGGGGATGTCTGCTCCAGCAAGGTGGCCGTGTATAATGAAGCGAGTTTTCCTGTGTGTTCGGAAATTTGAAGCTTTGATAGTTGAAGGATTTGTAGCAGAAATTTTCTGTGTCAAAAAAAAAAACAACCAACAAACAATGCAACAAGGATGTGACTGCCCCGTCCCTGCGTACGCTTCGATGTAGAGCAGAGTACCCCAATGGTTAAGGCATAGTTCTGGACTCTTGAAGAGATGGGTCTTGCTCCTCACTCCAAAACTGCCTTGCTGGGGGATATCAATTAATCACTTCAACAAAGTATTCACTTCCTCTAACTGCGCTGATGATACTGGCTTTGCACAATGCTTTGAGATGTACAAAATACCATGTAAATACAAGATTTTATCAAATTTGGCCATACTAATACAAAGATAGCATCTTTGGCAAGGTATTATGCAGTTGACTTTCAATCTATACCTATTTTTCTTTTTTTTTTTCTTTGAAGATAAGAACTTCATTGTTAAGGTTATTTATATTTCACGACAAAGCCCACCAGGCTTACAAAGTCAGAGGTTGTAGGTATTCTGGGGTTTATTGAGAAGGAAGGCAGCATTTTCTTTTAAAGAAATTCTGAATCCTGGGTGGGTTTAGAACTTGGCTCTTACTTACTTTTGTTATGGTTTCACAAGCTTAAAGGGGGATGTCATGTACTAATTAGCACACACATCACCTTCAGTGAAAGACTGATTAAAGTTAAAACTTCATAGGCTCTCTCATCTAGAGGTGTTGACCCTGTTCTGAGATGACTCAAGCAGGAGAAATCATTACAACTCCACTGTCCATGACTGCCATTTATATTAAAAAAAACTACTATGAAGCCTTTTTCATGTAATGTAAGCCAATAGCAGCAACAAATTGGTTGTCCGTCCTCCCACCCCACCTTTTCATATTAATTTACTTCATTTACTTCATTACGTCCATTATGTAAAATTCACTCTCTCAGGTGGTCATTTCTCTTCTTTCACCAGACTAGTCTATAGCTCCACAAAACTGCTTCTTGCTATGGGTGAGCCCAGCCCAGACACCTCCAACCCCTCGAGCATCCTGCTGTGAGCTTTTCCCAGTGATTGCTCATCTTCAGAGGAAGGGGCTGACACGCTGCTGGCATCTTTCAGTACAGTCCCATGTGATCCAACCTAAACAGTCCTGCAGGTTCCTTTTAACTGCTTCCATTTGTCACTCTGTCACAGTCCAGAGCTTCCCCTTGCTGCCACGAGTTTACAGATGCTGTAGATAACCTCACCTTTTTACTTTTTTTTTTCTCCCATAAAGCCCCAGTCTGGTGTCTCTATGCTTCTCTACCTGATGTGTTTTCTTGAGGGGCAGCCTTGTTCACCTCTCAGTAAGAGAAACCTCCAAGCTCTCGCTAAGGTATATCTTACCAAGTCTTTTTCTTTAGCTTTTTAGTCTTCATTTTCCCTCAGTCCCATTCTTCCAAAAAAAAGTTTAATATTTCTTTATCTATCATCATTTAATTCTCTTTTAGATTGTTTACTTCTTTTTCACATACGATTTCATTCTCTCAATTTTTTTCTTTAGTCTCCTGTTTTCCTTCCTAAGCTTTCCTTTAGTTTTTCATCCTATTTTCCTTCCCCTCTCTGGTGAACATGGACACTTTCTCTTCTGATCTTCATTCTCAACTGTTTACCTGCTCTTAGGGCTTGGTGTTGGCCACCGCATAAGCAGAGCCTCTGAGATGAATCCTACGTAGTTCTGTGGACCTAGTAATCGTGGGTATGAACCACATCTCTGAGTTGTCTCTATGGGCCTGAAATGTGGTTTTAAGCTGGAGACACACAGGAACCAAAATTGATGTTTCCTTTTGTACTGCCTTCCCTATCTCTGGCTTCATGATGCTAAACCTGAAATTGAATGTGGGCCATTAGCTTACTGTAGAGAAGTATATAAAATATGTCCAAAATATCTCAGAAGGCTGCGATTCATATGTTGTAAATATACCTGGCCTGTCAGGAAGCTGAAATGAGAAAAAAGAAATGAGATGAAAGGAAATTGGGAGGGAGTGTTCATGGAGTGTGTAATATAGAATTGGGGACTCTCCTGGGAGACTTTTGAGCAAAAATACGGGAGAAAAGAAACTGTCTGTGTAATTTGTTGAACGTGTAGCATACTATCAGTTATTAAAACAAAGCAGTTTCTTACTTGGTATTTCATGGTGTTGTCTCTAGTGTAAAGGAGGAAATTGGTGTTCACAGCTTCTGGAGAGCTGGGCAAGCCTGCCAGTTGTCTCCCTGGGATCCCAGACCAAGGGGGGCTATCTGTAAAGCATCCGAGCCTTCTGTAGCAAACTTCCCTTCCTGGGGTACGCAAAGAAAAATGTTAGTGTCCTGGGAATGTAGCAGGTTGGGCTGCCACCACTTTACAAGAAGCTGGCAGGACAGTGTTTCAGCCAGGGAAGTGGAAAATGGCTGATTCAGATGAGGATGGCACCTGTGTTCTTTGCTCATTAAGGGGCTCAGTTGTGCTCCTGTGCCTTGTGCATGTAGCAGGGACTTGGACTTCAAGACCGATTCCTGTCGCAAACATAGCGTAGAGCTCAGTTTGGTGAACTCATGACTTATTTTGTCAAACGTATGGTTAACACAGCCATTGTAAAAAGACAATAACATCCTGATCCTTTATGGATCCAGAGAACAAACCAGCTTTTGTTGCCAGAGCAGAGCAGTCCTTCAGATTAGTGCTAATGCTCCAGGGATTATCTAAATTGTTATTTCTTGTGCAACAATCCAGGAAGGAGTAAAACGAAACCAAAACATTAAAATAGATACCTCTGGTTGCTCCATGATGTATGTGAAATATCTCCCTTATTTTTTGATCACCGTAAGATTTTAGTGGAAGCAATGAAGTGGAATTTGAGTGGAAGCCTAGAGCAAAGCAGAGCCTCGGGAAGTGTGGTCTGTGTCTGAAGGACTAGAGTTTCGCAATTTCTATCATGGCTTTAATACAGTAATGGTGCAAATATGACAAACGGGTGTTGCCATTAAATGTCATCCTTACCCAATATTATATCACAACAGTTGTGAAATCCCAAATATTTTTTATTGCTATTAAAAAGCTACTGAAAGCAATGAGAAACTGTTGTTACCTAGGATAGGTGACAGATTCATACAACATCAGACCGTGACTTACTCTATTTGTTACTCTGTATGAAATGCAGGGGTAGAGTGATATATACTGGAAATACATCTAAAGAAAGAGAAGATTTAATTGTGAAGCTGCGGCTAGGGAGTCCACAAGTGATCCAGTCATTTTCACAGGGGTCTTTCCTCTGATGCCAGTGAACTTTTGGACTCTGTCTTTGTTTCTCTCTGCTCTTTCTCTGTGTCCATCCATGTTGAACCATTCTTTCCTATCAGTAAAGAGGTGTTTTGGACCAGGACTATTACCCTGTTCTCTGCATAGTGCTGTGAAGAGTAAGTGCCTAGGCTGGCATTACAAGTGGAGCTACCATAAATGCTGGTGTGGGTTGAGAGTGGGTAGGGGAAACTGTTCCGGAAGAATTTTAGTACCAATTCATATATAAAAATACCTTTCTATTTCCCATTCTGTTTGCTAGCTGCAAAACCCCCTACAGAATTAAAAAGTAATAGGCTAAATGTAGGAGACATGATGTAACTCGATGTTCCTAATGAAGTTCATTAAATCCATTCCAAAGCACATTCGTTTTCTAAAATATAGTTATTCCGGTGTAAGCTGCACACAACAATTTTCACTGTTTATAGATTTTATCAATTATGTGTCTTACCTCTGGCTGCACCAAGAAGAAAAAGAGTAGTGATCCATATTGCAAACATCTAAAGCAAATAAGAACACGGTTCAAACCTAATTAAAAATAGAATCTGGAATTCATCTAAGGGCTTCCTTCACCCCTTAAAAAAAAAAAAAAAGTAACCATAGGAGTACTTCAGGCATTTAATGAGTTGGATCGAAAAGAATCAACATTTCCTTAAAGATAGCAAGGTTTCAGGAAAATACCTTTGGGATGTTTTCTGTTTGCCGTGGAGATTTTGCATATTCAGGATATCATCTAAGCACCTTTTAAAAATTTTCTTCCTGACCTTGAAAAACACAAACTTTTTTTTTTTTTTTTTTTTGTTCTCTAGAGCTGCAATTTATGGGCAAGCAAATGAAATTCTTGAAGAATTTGCAACAACTTTTTTTTCACAGAGTGAAATTTCTTCTAGCATCTAGTAGAAAAATTACTCATACAACAGCTCTTCAATGATTGCATTTAAAAGAACTGAGGAACAAACTTAATTTGTGTTTCTAAATCATACAGAGAATCTTGAAAACTCATTTTGATTATTGCTATCATCCATGCACACTTATCAGCCCTGATCTGCTTGGTCACTTAATCACCAGCTGATAGGTAATCATCG